CTCACCCTCGGGCTGGAGAGATGGCTCAATGGTTAAGAGCACTAACTGTTCTTCCAGAGGTCCTGAGTTCAATTCCCACTAACCACATGGTGGCTCACAACCAGCTTGAATGAAAGCTGGTGACCTATGCTGGCAAGCAGGCAGAAGACTGTATACATAATAAAATCTAAAAAAAAAAAGGGTTTAAAAAAATGGTGCCAAGTACCACAAGAGTAACAGAATTGTGCTGCTTTCTGGGATTTTGTTTTTTACTTTATTGTTGTTTGTTTGTTTGTTTTTTAAATGGAGTATGCTGGATATCTCTACAATTTTGTTCAAATGACTGCAGAACCTGGAAAAGCTGTTGCTGCTATTGATACATAACCTATTGCCATTATTGGTCTTTTTATATAAATATATATATGTTAATTGAAACTCAAATATTGATGAATCCAAGGTGTTTTAGTGAGTGCTCACCTGTGTAAGCAAATTTGATTTGATCTTTAGTAAGTAGTAAAGTTATATGCTTGCCAAAAAAAAAATAAGTGACACACTGGAAGACAAATGTCACACAATTTCAATTTTATGTGTAACCTAGAAATGATGAACTTATGGGAACAGAGAGCAGAATTGTGGCTATTAGGCTTCAATGTGAGTCTTTTTAACAATGGGGAAACAATTGGTTTAAGGATATACAACTGCAGTTGGACAAGAGGCATGGACTCTGTGATGTCTTGAGGTCTACTGAGAGCATGATAAATATGGTTGATAACAATATGCTATATTTTAAAAGTTGTGAGATAGTATTCTTTAAGTGTTCTCAAAACAAAAATGATGAATATGTGTGATATAACATGTTAATTGGTTTAATTTAGCCATGCCATTATGAGCATACTGTATTATGTATCATAATTGTGCATGACTTTATTTATAAGCTAAATGAATGAATGGAAAAAAAGAAATTAAAAGATGAGCACATGGAGCTGGTGGTTAAGGGGTGGGACTTATCTGGGAGGAGTTGGGGGAGGAGTTGAGAGTGAAGCATCATCAAAATGCATCGCATAAGATTCTCAAAGAACCAATGCAAAATTAAGAAAAAATATCATAACTAAAAGCAAGCTTTTTTAGTCAGGCCTAGGAAATGAAAGCAAGGCGGTAAGTTATGGAAGACAGCCATTTTACACAGCTGACATCCTTCCACAAGCCCAGTATTCTGGAGAAATGTGTTCTATGAGCTGGTCAGAAAAGTTCTTTCTCTGAGGCAGTTCAGCTCTCCTCATAAAAGTGGACATTTGGGATAAAGCAAGTCCGAGAAGCTGGCAGTTCCCACCCTACTAGAAGGGGACTCGTTTCCAGATAATATGTTTGAGTGATTTCATCGCAAGACTGGGAAGTTGAGCGTGCAGGATTCCAGGTGAATCCAGAGGCAGCCACTTTACTCTGAGCTGTCTAGCTCACATTCCCCTCTGTGCCCCCAGCTCCTGTGCACTTCCAGCCTCAGGGAAAAAATGGACTTTGGGAGACCATTCCCCATAAAGGGATACTCTCTCACCCTAGAATCATGGGGAAGGGCCTAGTCCACATTCCAAATGAGATGGCAGACTTTGAGGATCCTCCATGGAAGGCTTCACCCTCCCTGGGGAGCTGAAATGTGATGGGATGAGGGGGGTTTGGTGGGGTGCAGGGAGGATGGGAGGGAGAGGGAACTGGGATTGATATGTAAAATAAGATTTTTTTCTAATTTAAATAAAAATCTAGAAAAAAAGCGCCATTTGGGTGATAAGAGGAATGGAGTCCATCTTGTACTGTTGGGACATGAGTACGGAATCTAGAATGCTGTGGGGTGGTAAGGAAAAAGGACATTTTGAATTGTATGTATGATGTTGGGTGAGTCATGAGCTCTAAGTCCCTTAGCACCTGCCATTCAGCCAGAATCAAGATACCTAGGGACTCTGATTTACACATTCAGAAGGCCTGTTAACTCTTCTGTAGCAGCAAGGATCCCAGAATCTACAATGGGGACTGTAGCCTTCCTGAGACAGGAAGAGTCAGAGAGCATGTAACAGAGTCACAGTATAGTCCTGGTTAGGTGCATGCTGGTATCTATAAGACTGCCTGGAAATGCAGTCTGATCAGGTCCAGCTCAATCTAACAACACAATGTGATGGGGTCAGTCTCAAGCACTAAAACCAACAACAAAAGTTAACAAATTGGTGCAAAGGAGAAAGCGCACTATCTACAACCCTCGGGCTTCCTACATCTAGGAACTGTGGATAACCCTGGTAAGAAGAGTCTGCACTTCTACCCATTGGGTAGGCATACAATTCTCTAGTGTCAAATCAAGGAGATGAGACAGTAACACCCCTTAAACATAGCTCAGCAGTGGAGCGGAAGTTCATTTTCTTACATCTTGTGTGGTTGTGGCAGGGTGATCGCTTGAAAGTGAAATTATTATTTAAGACTGCATTGCTCTGGTAGCAAGTTTATTCTTAGATTTTCTTTTTAGTCTATTGTAAATAGGTGTATGTCCACAATCTCCTTCCCTGTATGTTTGTTGTTAGTTTGTAGAAAAGCTATTAATTTAAGCAAGTTGATTCTGAAAACAAGTATAGATTGACCTCTTTTTTTTTCTCTCAAGCTAAACCGTATCCAGCTTTATTAAAGATACTTTCCATAAACAATCATGGTATTTCAGGCAGGACATGGGAACACAATCGTTAACAGTCTACAAAAACTTCCAAACTCCCTTCTTGTATGGAGTACCAAAATCAGAAACCCAGTGAAGTCTTCATTCAGTGCTTTGAAAAGGGGATGAGCTGAGAGTGAGGGTTGACATTTCACATTAAAGATGTTGTTTAATAACTTTTCAAAAGCCAACCCTGACTTTCCGGAAATGAAATGAAAACAGCAGAATTCTGAATCTGAAGATTCACAATCTTATATACAAAAAAAGGAACTGCTGCTCTTTTGAGGATATCATTATCACTGCAAAGTCCAGATTGCCCAATAGACCAGCAAAACCAATTTTAGGGGGTCAGGTTCCAACAGGTCTCTGGTTTTAAGGGAGTTAAGTCTATGTTGATGGTTCAGGAGGAAGAGGATATAAAAATGAATTTAGAGTTTTCCCACACAACAATGCATTCTGTGCTGTGGTGGCCACATATATCAACACCAGGATGTCTCTCCTGAGCCAAGAGGAGACTGTCTGAATTGTCAAGGAAAGATGTTTTCCATCAACCATCATCAATCTAGCTTAGGAGACATTTTGTTAGTGACACATGCCCCCCTCAAAAAAAAAAAAAAAAACAAAAAACAAAAAGCAATGAAGTGTTCTGTGTGCTAACAACATAGCTTAAAAAAAGTAAAACAAAATTCTGCATTCCTTTAAAACTTGATAAAAAATTAGTATTTAAAACTGTACAGTCAACAGAGGTGCACACTTATCAAAAATGCCACACTTGACTTGACATCTCTAGCACCTTCAGCTTTTTGTGCCTGATCTGTTTTGGTGTCTCCATCTTCTGCAAGATTATTTGCATCCTTGCCAGCATCTGCTTTCCCCTTCTTCCCCTTGGGTACCTTCTCTCCCTTCTTTGCAGGGGCCTTTGTAGGCTTGGGTTCTGGCTTTGGAGGAGCAGACAACCTTGCAGATATTCTCTGTGGCTCGTCCTTCACCGTGGCTTTATATCCTTTAGTATCCCCTTCAGCCTTTTTGGCAGCAGGGGACATCGGCGCAGCGGTGTGCGGGTTTGGTCCACCCAGAGGTCATTCTCGCTGCTTCTTCACACTGCTTCTAGTTTGACTTCTTTCTCTCTTTCTATCCTTTAATTTTATTTTCTTTCCTAATTGCTCCACCTAGTACTTCAAGCACAATATTGAAAAAGAGTGGGGGACATCCCTATCACATAAATTTTTACTGGCCGGTTTTCTAAAAAACAGAGAGAAAAAAAAAACATAAAGTTAGATGGATGGGAAGAGGGAGAGAATCCCGGACAAGTGGAGAGGGGAGGATTGGGGAAACATGATCAGAATATACTGTATGAAAAGAAAATCTTTATTTTCAATTTTTTTATAAAAGGAATACAGAAATTTTGCTGAGTCAGATTCATGCATACACTTGTCTCTGCCCTTAACTGTGGCTACTTCAAGCTTCCACCACTGATATTTCCATGCAGTGCTGGACTATAACCGGGATTTTAAGCTAGCTAATCCCTTTTTGTCAGGATAGTTTATCACAGCAACAGAAATGAAACTAGGACACTACCGACATCAACCTCTTTGCACACTGTCTTATTCTTCATGAAAGCTAAATAAATGATAGCTGCAATTGTTCTCATTATGGATGGTAGTGCTCCCAGAATTCTATGTATTTTTCCTTTTCTCTTGCGTTCATTTCATAATTCGTCAAAGGGACAATCACTTTGTTCTCAACGTTATCCTTCATCCATTTAACAAATATTGTGAGCTACTTTTGTGCCAGACAGTGAGTTAGGTATTGATGGTATACACATATATATCTCCTGCCATGGAGAAGGTTGCCAGAAACACAACAATTCGAAGCAAAGACTCTTTCAAATAGCAATTTGGTTTAATACTTCTTGCACATGCAGTTGTGACCTGAAAACCATTTCATATAAAAATGTTGGTAAATCCCTCTAGGAATATTTATGAAAATAAAAAGCTCTTAAAGAGCAAAAAGTTTAGTACAAATGAATTTCTAATGCCAGAAAATGGCACCAAGACTAAGAAAGAAATTTAGTTAAAAGTCTCCTCCTAGAGGCCCTGAAATTCTATTACATTCTTCTGCCTAGGACGTAAGACTTTGACATTCTTTGCAAATGATGACAGCTAAACAGTAACAAATTCTCCCAGCCATGCTCCACTTGTGTCCTGACACATAATTCTCATAATCATAAATTTAAATATCAAATGTTTGAGCACTAGATTTGGTTCTTTTCGGAAGAACTTGGAGTTCAAACAGATTTCATGGTTCATTCAAAAGTTGTAAGAGTAAACACATAAAAGATGGTATTTTAAATTTCTCAAGGATTACTCCATGCACATGACTTCATTCAAATTATCACTAACATTTTCAAAAAGGCTTACTATAATAGGAAAGTGAGGCTTGTAGGCTTTACATACTTGCTTACAGCAGTACAATTTGACTGACCTAGGACTTTTGCATGTGTGTGACAGTTGTGTAGCTTGGTCTAACTATGAGACTCCTAGCAGTGAGATCATGACCTGTCCCTGGAACTTAGCTGGCTTTTGAAAACCTGTTCCCCATGCTGGATTACCTTGCCCAGTCATGATGCAGAGAAAGGAGCTTGGTCCTGCCACAACTTGATGTGCCATGCTTTGTTCACACTCACAAAAGAACTGCCCCTTTCTGAAATTCTGAATATAGACAACTGAGGATAAGTGGATGAGTGCAGGAGTAGATGGGAGGCAGAGAAGAAGGGAAGATGAGAGTAGGGAGGGGAAACTGTGGCCAGTATATAAAATAAATGAAATATAATTAATTAATAAAAACATATTTATTTGACTACAAAATTCATCCAGCTTTAATTGAAAAGGACACTTCTTCAGAATCTAGAATTATATTTCTCAGCTATAGCTCCTTCCTTTTTTCTTTATCATTTTATTTACTAATTTACAGTAGAAAAATAGGTCTTGTAAGTATGATTGGGGAATACATGATAAATGTTCCTTTTTATTATATAAACACAAATACACTGTATTGAGGTTTATTATAGAAGACTCAAATTTTGTTGTTGTCCTTGTTTTCTTTTTTTTACAACTTTTTTATTTGAATTAGAAACAGGATTGTTTTACATGACAATCCCAGTTCCCTTCTCCCACACGTCCTCCCCTACCCCCCCAACTAAAACCTTATCTGTCACTATCTTTTCTGCTCCCCCTAGATGGTGAGGCCTTCCATAGGGTGTCATCAGAGTCATTTGCATCCTTTGGGATAGGGCCTAGGCCCACCCCCGTGTGCCTTGGCTCAGGGAGTATTCCTCTATATGGACTGGGCTCCCAAAGTCCACACCTATGCTAGGGATAAATACTGGGCTTCTACAGGAGGTCCCATAGATTTCTGAGGTTTCCTCACAGAAACCGTGTTCCTTGGATCTGGATCAGTCCCATGCTGGTATTCCAGCTATCAGACTGGGGAGCAAGAGTTCCCAGATGTTCAGGTCAGCTGTTTCTGTGTATTTCACCAGCATGGTCTGGACCTCTGTGCTCTTCACTGGTCCTTCTCTGCATCTGGGTTCCAGTTCAGTTTGGTGATTAGTTATGGGTCTCTGCTTCTACTTCTACCAGCTGCTGGATGAAGGCATATAAGTCAGTCATCAATCTCATAATCAGGGGAGGGCATTTAAGGTAGCCTCTCCTCTGTTGCTGAGATAGTTAGCTGGTGTCATGTTTGTAGATCTCCAGACATTTCCCTAGTGCCTGATTTCTCTGTAAACCAA